GTAATTTGTACTCCAGGCCTTGTGTGTGGCTGGAATATCCTGGTGATCAATGATACAACTAATTGAAGAAGTTCTTACGAACCTTTCATTTGTGCCTTCTGATCTGGATTTGAAAGATGTATGAGGGGTCTGGGTTGGAAGAGTTCTAGAAAGATGGTTGAAAGTCCAATAGAATAGATTAAAAAGATTGAGCATACGATGACTGAAAACCACTCTCCATGTTTCTACTCTAGAATCATTTACAGCCTTGGACACCGCGTCGAACAATGCGTTTCTTAGGGCATCGTCAGATTTAGTTTCCTTGTATGCATTGCTGGTAGGGTCCAAATTCGCTAGAACAATGCCGAGTTTAGACGCAAGACCTGGGTGCTTCTCGAAGTGCTCTCGAATTCCAGAGATCACATAATGAAAAGCTTTTGTTTCGAGTAAAAATCGAAAGATCGGATCCTCAACCAATGGCTTAATGTCTGCCAAGTCTTCATCTTGCAGCTTTTTAGGTGACCCCGTTTTTGATGAGCTCGAAGAGGAAGATTTCTTCATTACACTGCTCCCCGGTGCTATCCTCGCCTTTTGTGATGGCTCTGTTAGTAGGCGGGTATCTGCCTCTCCATTTGCCATGACGACATCTTGAGCTATCTCTAGAGACGTTGACTTGTTCGGGTATTGACTTTGACTCATAGAGTGTTTACGTTTGGTCGGCTTCAATGTTGGTTCAAACTCCGATGGTCAGTCCTGCCTCCCCCCAGCCAAGATGGTCAGCGGAGTCGCCAAGTATTCTGAGACATTCGCGCAAGCTTATTCATTTCTATGAATCCGATCCATCCACCATCGTCCCTAGTGGTGATTATGAACACAACAGTGGACACACCCCTAAACGTAAATAGCCGAGTGCAAAGCCGCACTCCAAACTCACCCCAACTTGGTAACAAAAGATACATCTATTCAAAGCAAGTCCACGATACCTATCAACAAAGGAGGGGAACAGTCCGAGTCTACCCGAGTGCACCATGGTCACACCGACCAGGCAAAGTCCAACCAACA